TCATATTGGAGATACCTGGCTGCTGGAAGGCATACACTCTCATGTAGGTGGTGCCTTTGTAGCATGCTAATTGGTGAACTGGAACGAAGTCAAGAATATCCTGCTCTGTAACATGATGCTTTTTTTGCGTACGTGCCGTTTGCGAGGGGACTTCTCGGTGTTGTTCGGAGGATAATTGATCAGTGCAGCTGGTAAGAATGAGTTATCATCTGGATTATTGAGACCTATACGCTCGGCTCATTTTAGCTTTCTCAAATAGCTCATGGCGATTGATCTGTCCATCAGAGGATGTACCTTGGAAGTCCTACGTGGTCTAGCGAATCTTCTGGGGAACATTAGACTCCTTTGCATGTGCTATTACTAAACCGCAGTTGAGGTTGAAGTGCAAGGCAGGTCTACGGAAATATGAGCATAGAAGATGAGACTGATATCGAATGAGATTCATGAAATGTTTTGATACGTCTATGTAAGTCGTGTATAATATCAAGGTGTGCAACGACCGGTGAAACGAGGATACAGAGAACAGTCTCTGACTGTGTAGCGGGCACACAACCAAGCGAGGAACCGCTCAAGACCGAGACCGTATCCACCGTGAGGGGATGTGCCGTACCTGAAGTAATGATTAGACGTAGATCCTGACGTAGAGTGGCAGGCAAACTTACTTTCTCTGATCGGTGTACCAGTAGTACGGGGCGGGATCCATTCCCTCATGCTTGTAGGCGGCCATCAGTTCATCCCAGTCGTCCATTCTCATACTGCCGCCGACGATCTCACCGACACCAGGCATGAGGACGTCGACACTCTCGGTGACGCGGCGATCTTCAGGATCCTTCTTCATGTAGAAGGCCTTGATCTCGGCAGGGAAATGGGTCAGGAAGATGGGCTGGTTGATGATGTCGGTCATCTTGCGCTCGGCAGCTTCGGCGATATCGTCACCGAACTGGTGGGGCTTGCCCTCCTCGTTGGGGATGTCATGTTCCACCAGCCACTGAATGGCGTCGGCGTACTTCATGCGGCGGAAGGGGCGACTGGGAGGTTTGAAGTCGGGGTTGAGCTGCTTGATGAGCGCAGCGGTGGCGGGGTCGGCGAGGGTCAGCTCAATGACCCGGCAGATGACCTCTTCGAGATGGTCGAGCAGGTCGGTGAAGGTGATGAAGTCGAGCTCTGCCTCGATGTGGGTGTACTCGGACAGATGGCGACGGGTGAGGGACTTTTCGGCGCGGAAGGATGGGCAGACACAGAAAACGTCACCCAGAGAAGGCAGGCAGGTTTCCAGGTAGAGCTGGGAGGATTGGGTGAGGTATGCGTCTTCGCCGTAGTAGTCGAATTTGAACAGGGTGCTGCCACCCTCGACTTGCGTCTGCACCATGGCAGGCGGGGTCACTTCCAGCATGCGCTTCTCCTCAAATACCTGACGGAAAGCCTTGAGGCAGGCGGCGCGCACCTTCATCACGGCTGAGGAGATCTCTCCACGAAGGACGAGGTGACGGTTGTCGTAGAGGGTCTGCGGGTCGGCGTCCTTGGCCACACGGGTGGTGATGGCCTCCTTGTCACCGGCAGCGCGACCAATGACAGTGAAGAAATCCGCGTGCAGTTCCCGGTCGTTGGGCGCATGCTGCTTGGGAGGCACCGCGCGCATCTCTCCGTGGATGGCCATGGAGGTTTCGAGAGTGAGAGTCATGGCGTCGTAGGTCTTTGTCAGGTTTCCGGTCAGGACACACTGCAAGTAGCCGTAGCCGTCACTAAGAGTCAGGAAGATCACATCCTTCTGGACACGCAGGCGATGGACGCGTCCCAGCACACGGACACGAGTGCCTGGAGTTTGTGTCTCGGGTGATCCAAGCGTGACGATAGCTGGGTCAGTGACATCCAGGCGAATTCGCACGGGCTTGGGCAAAGATGGGTCTTCTGTGATGACAACTTTCTTGGCCTCCTCCAGAACCTTCTGACGCTTTTCAGCTTCCTGCTTCTCGCGAATGGCCAATTCCTGCTCCTTGGCTGCCTTCTTCTTCCGCTGCTCGACAATGCTGAGCGCCTTCTTTGTGGCCGACTTGGTCGCTGGCTTCCACTCCAACTTGGCGGCTGGGTCGACGTCCTCGCCTGGAGCATCTGTCTGAGATTTGCGCATCAAGTATTGATTGCCCTCAGCTGGGGGGTGTTGGAGGTATGCATGGACAAGAGTCTTGTAGGGGGCCGATTCAGAACCGGTCGCGGTCGAATCGTCCCGGCCGACGTCCTCGTCGATGTAGATTGTGGCCATTTTGCAATCTGGTTGTTCTTGTTCAGTTATATTAGAAATGCGATCTGCAGAAAAAAAGCTCTCAATTGTGTAAATTGTTCGTGAAATCGTGCCAGCTCAATCACTGCCCTCATGTGGGTGAGTCACAAAACGCAACGGCAGGGAGGAAAGATAAGGAATCTAGTGCACCACGAGGGATTGGTCGAAACAAATTGGAATGTACTCACGAGGTATATATTTCTCAGATTGGGCAAACGAGATCGTCTATACCACACACACCGAGTCCCTCCAGAGAGAAGAGCAAAGAAAACCGCACAATGTCTGGGGATTTCTCTGCTGCGGGACTTTTTGGAGGGGTAATTTTTATTGCGATGATAGCGGACCTCCACGTTGGCCTCAGGCACCAACTCCTCCCAATATGGCAAATTGGCATGCTTACTTAAGGTGCCTTACAGGTAACTTTTGAGTCGGACGACTTTCTTCGCATTCGGTTGGCTCGATACTGCCGTCACATTAATTTCTATATGTAGACTAGATATGGATGACATTCAAAGAGAGCATATGTTCAATGACTACTTCAATAGCGAACTAGGGCATCAGGAAGAATCATCTCATATCTCTGCTAATTTCTCCCCTTCAACCGCATTCCGTTCTGACTGGTCTGGACTCTGTATCTGCCATTGTATCTCGTCCTTCCATTATCTATCTAGTAGTGGTTTGATTCTAGCGTTTGGTCCGTGTTGTGATGCTCGATTTGCTCGATAGTACGTTTCACATTCAGTTCCCTTTTCCCTGCCAAGCCTCAGTGAGCGGAATCCTCTCCTTGCAGCTAGTCCCAACAAAGTAATTCCTGATCCTGCAGAGTCCCGGATCAATAGGTGGTCCGGACAGTACCTGAAAGTTACCTCTGGTGATAGGACTATCATAGGCTCCTTTGCAAGATTCAGGAACGGAACCATGTTTCCACAATTATAAGGCAAGTTGATCCTGTCCACTGTAAAGGAGACACATCTCAACATCCATTTCTCCCGTGACATCTTGGTTGAATCAGTTCCACTGTCATTTTGTGTTTGTCAATAGTTTATGGAGTAACCGTACGGAGTACTGACCATCTACGGAGTATATATCGCTCATCTTTTTCGCCCCAAGCCAGGGACAACAAAAGCAAATATGCCGGATCTTACTATCTGTGGTCCCATCGGGATTTGCAGCTGAACTACCAACTATTGAGTAAATTGAACGTCTTGCGTAATGCGATTATTATATTCCTCATGACTTGGGAGTTGGGAACGTATGTGCGACTGACAGAGGCTTAAAAGGCTATCATCTTCCCATTTGAGTTCTGTTCCTTTATTAGCCTCAAATCCATGGGTGATGGTGCCGATGCGCCATGGACTGACCTGCCCTACCATGTTTACTCCACAAATTCCCCTATTCTTAGTATGGATAGTACCTTGTATCCCCCTTTTCTAATAATTGTCTGTCTTTCCCTCACGACTCAAGACATCTTGATTCGACGTACCTAGTTGTTGCTTCTACTCTGTAGATTCAGCCCCATCAGGTCTAAGATTGTTTTGAGAGACTGTGACCGGTAATCTTGGGCGGCTTAAAAGGAAATCCACCAAAAGTTACTACTAGTAGATATTCGACAGTTGATTCAATAATGGCTTGATGGATCATCAGACAGTAATAAACGAGGACACCAGTCACTTTTGCTCTTATTCCTCCCCATCATCATCACCACCAACAACAACACCATCAACCCCCTTTTTACCCTGCCTTCTGTTATCCTTACTGGTCTCTCTTTCTCTTCATTTATTTACTGTATTCTAATCTATTGCCGTCTCCTGTCTGTAGCTCGTTGTAAGTGCCTATGATCCCTATTCTGCCCCAGACACTGACTTCTCTGGTGCATCTTCAAGCGTTCAAACATCCTCATACCCACTTTGTTTTTAGTCACATACAAAAGATGGACTAATTATTTCCCTTGAATGCTACCTTAAAACAGTCTAGTGAACTACCTTACTCCATACTCCAGACTACTACTACTAGCTTTAGACCAACTAGCTACGGGAGCAGAGACCTAGGTACTCTCACTCTCCTTTTCTCTCCGCCCTCACGAAAGTCACTCCTCCGTATCGCTTTGGTTTTTTCCCTCATCCCCTATCTACTATCTAAACTAGATACTCCTTTTTTCTTTCCCTTCTACTTCTTTTGCTCCATCCAGACTTACTAGGAGTATCTGCTTCGTCAGTTACTCTTCTTCTTTCTCTTCTCCATTTCTCACTATTCTCTTCTTGTACTAAACTAATTTCTCTTGATATCCCATTCCCCCTTCTTGGCTTTTTGTTATTGCGGCATTCATTCTCTGCTGCCAATCCATGCACATTCCAATTGACCATTGAAATCCCTTCTCAACACGTCTCCGTTGGAGATTCTTGGTCTTTTCTCCCTTTCTTGGTTGGATTTTTTTGTCTTTTGCTTCTGGATAACGATCACTTGATTTCTTCTTTTCGTTGAATCATATTCGCTTTCCACCTTTAACTTCTATTCTTCTTCCCTTCTCAATTCCCATTGCCCCTTTTCTTAACGGGGCTGATCCTCAGGCCGGTGGCTTTCTACGGCCTCTGATCATTAATATCGCTCGGTTCTAATCCTCTTTTGCCCTGGTCTGGTGATATTGGCCGCTTCAAGCAAATCGAACCCCTCCTACCACTTTGTTTAGGGGCAATCACCCGTGTCTATATCGTTTCTCCTCGCCATGCAAACCGCCGATGCCTCGAGTATCTCCAACCGCTTGATGCATTCCAAATTCTCTTCCCTGAACGCGGACAATACCGGGTTCTCCCACGGCGCGTACAATTCCAATATCCCAGTACAGGGTTTCGCGGATCGGAACGCTCGTCGTCCCAACATCCCTCACATCAATACCTCTAATCCGGCCTCGAACCTCTCGGACAGCATGGCAAACTCCGGCACGGCATTCGACATGAACTTCACGCCTCTCCTCCCTTCCCAGCTTCTGCTTGGCAGTCCATTCCAGCCTGGGACTCCCTCCGCCTTCGCTTCGCCGCAGTTCGCTAATTTCGGTGGTTTCTCCCAAGCCAATGCCTCTGCACATGCACAGAATCATCAAACCCAGTTGGGAAGCCCAACACAGGCCACACCGAACGCCGGTTTGTATTCGGGAATGATGTCAACCGACGGCTTGGGGAACTCTCACTTGTTGAACGGCCCGCAATCTCCAATTGGTGGTCTGGGAGGCCTTGGTAATGCGGCATTTGGAAGTCCCGCAGCGGCCGTAACCCCTGGCCTCCTCTCAGGCACGAGCCGGACCGTGTACCTGGGCAACATTCCTGCAGAAACCTCCGCGGAGGAGATTCTCAACCATGTACGTAGTGGACAGATTGAGTCGGTTCGCTTGCTTCCAGACAAGAACTGTGCCTTTATCTCCTTCCTGGACAGCAACTCGGCGACCCACTTTCATTCGGATGCTATCCTGAAGAAGCTGGCCATCAAGGGCAACGACATAAAGGTGGGATGGGGCAAGCCGTCCCAGGTCCCAACCTCGGTCGCGCTGGCGGTTCAGCAATCGGGTGCCTCGCGCAATGTATATCTGGGCAACCTTCCCGAAGAGTTGACGGAAGATGAGCTGCGCGAGGAACTCGGTAAATTCGGGCCGATTGACACCGTCAAGATCGTGAGGGAAAAAGCAATTGGGTTTGTACACTTTTTGTCGATCAGCAACGCAATCAAGGCCGTTTCCCAGTTACCCCAAGAAGCCAAATGGCAGGCGCCGAGACGCGTCTTCTATGGTAAGGATCGCTGTGCGTACGTATCCAAGACACAACAGCAAAATGCGGCGCAATTCTTGGGTATCGCGCCCGGCTATGCGCATATTCTGAACTCCGCAGACCGCGATCTGATCACCAACGCTCTCGCTCAGCAGTCCGTCGCTGCGGCTGCCGTGGCTACCTCAGCCGGAGGCGTCAACAATTTGGGGAACCGGACCATCTACTTAGGCAACATCCACCCAGAAACCACCATCGAGGAGATTTGCAACGTGGTCCGGGGCGGACTGCTGCACCATATCCGATACATCCCCGACAAGCACATCTGCTTCGTGACTTTCATCGATCCAACCTCTGCTGCCTCCTTCTACGCGCTAAGCAACCTACAGGGTCTGATGATCCACAACCGTCGTTTGAAGATTGGCTGGGGCAAGCATTCTGGTCCTCTACCTCCCGCCATTGCACTGGCAGTGAGTGGCGGGGCTTCCCGCAATGTTTATGTCGGCAACCTCGACGAGACGTGGACAGAGGAACGCCTCCGCCAGGACTTTTCCGAGTACGGCGAGATTGAGTTGGTGAACACGTTGCGGGAGAAGAGCTGCGCTTTTGTCAACTTTACCAACATTGCCAATGCGATTAAAGCAATTGAGGGGATGCGCAACCGCGAGGAGTACAAGCGATTCAAGATCAACTTTGGCAAGGATCGCTGCGGCAACCCCCCGCGTCAGACTGGCAATGGTGGACAGCATAGCCGGAACGGAGCTGGTCTCGAGGGAGCGCAGTCTCCGCCTCCTGTACTTAACGGCTTTCAACCAAATCTGAGCCAATCTGGCTCCCAGTCGAGTCCCACTCGCCATGCTCTGTCACCTGCTCCCGGCTCGACTGGCTCTCAGAACGGACACCAGCAGAACCGTCACCCTCTGCAAACCGTGTCCTCGCCATCCGGTATCCTGAACGTGGGCGCCAACAACCCGCTGACTATGTACCTGAACCAAATGTCCGCTCAGCAACAGGCTCAGGAGCAGGAGAACCGACTGAATGACCCGATGGCTCTGGCCGCCCTTCAATCGCAATCGCAATCCCAGGCCCAACAACAGTCGTACTACAACGCTACCAGCAGCAGCGACCTCACGAACGGAAGCATCGAGGCCCCCATGCACCAACACAAGCCCTCGAGTGGTTATTTGAACGTGACCAATGGCTCCTCAGGGCCAAGTCATCACGCAACCGCCAGCACCAGCAGTTTGAGTGTGCCTCGTGCGCAGCATTCTCGCACCGTGAGCTTACCCTCGTTTTCCCAGGAGCCCTTTGGCCCTGTCTCGAGCCAGCCCGGCCATGGCCGCTCAGGTGTCGCTCACCAGCCCCAAGCAAGTTTCTCCAGCTTCTCCTCGGCCCTGGGAGGACTGAATCACGCGGGATTTGGGCTGGCTATTCAAAACGAGTCTTCTCTGCCCGGCTGGGCTGAAGAGGAAATCGGTGCAAAATAATTGTCTTCCTCGTATCTGAGTGATCCATCCCGCTGTTCAGTTCTATGAGTGTCGTTCTACACAAAACTTTTTCCTTACATTCTCCATCGTCAACATTGCGCTTCCTTCTCTGTATTGGTTTGGTTAATTGCATGGTTGCATCACCTTTGATTATTCTGTTCAAATATTTTCTCTCCTTCTCAGCCATGCCCTCTTATCACATTTTAATACCTTCTTGATATCATCACTTGTATTGCTATCTGGGCAGGAACTTCTTAATATCTGTCTTCTACCTCTGTCTTTTTATTGTGTTTCTCACCTTTTTGAGCCGTTCCCGGCCGCTGACTTTCAGTGCGCTATGAGAGAGTGGGATGAGACGTCGGCTGATACCCTGGACTGGTTCGGCTCTGGCTTGTCCTTGGACGTTTCATTCCCCTTATTTGCATTCTTGGTGCCACTTCAACGAATTCAAGCTGAGCATACGGCTCACCCACGTTGCATGTTGGATACGGACAAGGGTTATATAGCTGTGGACGTCATGTCTCCACGATGGCGAGGGGCGATTGCAAGCCATTGGATGATGAAGGATATGGGACAAGAATAAACAAAAATGAAATCAAATGAATGGTTGTCTCAGTAAAAGCAATAAGCTTAGACATGAATGTCACCTTCAGGCTAGTCATACAGATCCAGCACGTCTTAAGTAGGGAGACATCAAACGATGCTGGATATCACGTGAGCTCAACTCCGCCTGGATCGACGCTAATCCGCGTTTGGCACGATCCATGAAGCTCAAGCTGAAGAGCGATCCCATCAGTCTTTGTATTTCTTCCCCGTCATCAATCTTGTTCAACTCGTCAATCCTACATTTTGGCTCTTGTGGAAACTTCCACGGCTCCAGGATGGCCTTACCTCCAGAGCAGATCAACATCAAGCGCCGCCGCGAAGAAGAACCGGTGGACACATTGTGTAAGAAAAAGCTCCCTGACTTTGGGTCGCCCCACGGCCTTGTACGGCGTCACATGCCCACAAGCTACTAAATTCTCATATGGAGTCCTGGTCTATAATATAACTCGGCTAACACGAAACTACAGATATCCAGTCTGAACTCCACCAGACCAAGCGGCGTTTTACGGACTTTGTCTTCCAGCGGGTACATGTTAGTGGCAATGCTCGGGACAGCGGCTCCTCGAGCCCTGCGTCCCTGGCTGCACCGTCTCGCACACTCCTCACTCCGAGGTCAGTGAGTAGCTCTGCGTTTCCAGCTTCCAGAGGTGCTGCTCGGCCCTCGGATCCAGGGGCGGGCGTCGGCGCGACCGTGCCTCTGGTTCGAGCTACTTCCCCTGGGGCTGAGTTTCGGGAGGAGCAGCGCCTCGCTGCTGTGCGCAAGGCAGCGGAGGAGAAGCTCCACCGCGCACTTCACTCCTCGTCTGGGGCGGCGGGTGTGGATCTGGTAGGTTCTACTGCTGTTGACGGGGCGCGAGAGTCTTCTGCGTCGAGCGGGAGGGAGAGTCCAGTTTCCGCGTCGCCGCGCTCTGTTCGTCGGTTCCAGATTTCCAGGTCCAATACGCCTGTGAATGTTCTGCGGAGCGCGGCTGGCGGCGTGCAGAAGCGGCGAGGGGACGGGGCGGTCGCGGTGCTGGTGGAGAAGTTACGGCGGACTCCGCATTCGAGGCAGGCGTCGTTGGTGGCCGATGCGGCGGCGCAGGCTGCGACGGCGGAGGAAGAGGTCCGCGGAGTGAGTGTCCCAGAGCTGGAGCCGGAGCCGGAGCGTGCGCGGCCTAGGAAACGGCCGGTGGTCAATCAGGCGGAGAGGAAATGGAGAGAGGAGCGGAAGACTGCCATCTCCGCTGCAAAGGAGCACATCACGCAGGTGCTGGAGAAGGAGGCGCATGCTCGTAAGAGTAACTGGGAGGATGAGTCGGAACGGCTGGCTCGCGAGTTTGAGCAGATTGCGCTTGAGCTGGAGGGAGGTATGGAGACGGAACCGTCGGTGCAGCAGCCGGTAGCGCAGACGACAGCTCGTCCCATCATTCCCAAGCCTCCATTGAAGTACCAGCCGCGCACACCCAATAAACCTCGAGGGACGGCACCGCGAGAAACGAGCGTTCCTGCAGTTCCCGACGTCCGGCCTCCGGTAGAAGCTATGGTGCACGAGGAGGACGACAGTGACGGCGAGTATGTCTACGATACTTACATTCGACGACCACTGCCAGAAGGGACGCTACTTACGAACCCGCTGGCCGACTTGGAAACGGCCCACGAAAAGTGGTTGCAACAGAATGGGATTGACACCACTCGTCAGGATATTGGAGTCATTGTCATTACGCAAGAGGACGAAGAGTACTGGGAACACTTTGCAGAGGACGACGAGGACGAGGAGGGGGATAGCGAGGACGCAGATTCGAATGGTATGTTTAGTCAATCAACCTCTCCAACCCAACCTCTCTGCATTCACTGTGCTAACCCATCTTGATGCATACAGCCGAAAACAACCCCGCAAACGACTATCCGGACGAGGATCTGTCGTGGGACGATGAAGAGGACGACGCCACAGCCATCTACCACAAATATCGAACTCATGGCGCGTCTGACGACGAGGAATTCGACTCTGCGGATTCAGCAAATGAGGGGCGGCGCGCAGGCCGGGTTGGAGTTGGATTTGGATTCGGGCTCGACTCGCACGTGGATTCTGATGAGGACAGCCTAGACGGCGACAGTCCCAATCACGATCGAATGCGACGTTGGTAGCCATTCTGACAAGTGACGCCCTCCCAGAATCGGGTGGCTGCATTCTGCAGCTTCCAGTCGATTTCAAGAAGTCTTGCTTGCTTGGTGTCCGGGAACGCAATCTGTCTGGTCAAGATAACGATCATCCTCTTCATTGTCAATTTACACCGAAAATAGCCCCCAAATACCAAGACCCGGTGACCTCGGGAAAAACCCAAATCCAAAACTGTAAAGAAAACAAATCATTACTATCGTATCTGCACGAGCATCAGCATCAACATGACCATCAGAGTGAGCATGAGCATCACCGTAGCGTAGCGTAGCGTCAGTGCCAGCCTGCCAGCCAGCCAGCCAGTACACAGGCCCCCACTTCTCTTCAGCCAAGCACGTATCTAGCCCATGAGCAAGTGACAACCGGCAATTAGCAAAGATAATCCCGAAGCTGATCAATCACCCCGAAACAACAATCTCCACGACGGCGCATCAGTATCAGCACCCAACAACGCCAACGTCAACGTCACAGCCTCTGGCCATTCAAATACGAGGTAGATAGAGTATGGGACCCAGATGCGGGGTTCCTCATTATGATAATGTCATGTCATGTCAAGCGGATTGCGAATTCGACCAAATTCAAACATCGTACATCGTAACATCGTACCATTGCATCTCACATTCCGTTAGAGTATGAGTTGTGGCCATCTCGGTTCTAACCGGTGCTGTCAGTATCAGTTACTACCGTAGTCTACGGTGCCTTTGCCTTAGTTGGGGTTGGAATTGAGGTGGTTATCCGGGTGAGCTTGCAGAAGGCTCGCAGTCTGGCATTGAAGTGGTCTGCATAGGACAGAGGATAAGAACGGGATCAATGCTCTGCATTTTACTAGAATTATGATCATCTTAACGGCTGCTTGTTTGGATACGGCTGTTATGGTGGACGATTTTAGTACCTGGCAGGACTGGGTGAAATTACGTACTGTATTGTATTGTATCGTACTGAAATGAGCCATACGTATTGAAATGGGATGATGTATTATAATTTTAAGCCATCATCGAAAAGCTCCAGCTGTCAGGACAGCGAGCTATTAGAATGCAGTGCTAATCCAGAAAGCCTCCCAACCATTAACGGCATGACCATGCTCTTGAATCTTGGAGAAACACACGGTGAAAGAGAAGGGAAACAGGAACCATGACGGAAACCTCCACATGTAGAAAGAGAATAAACTTCAGAGGTATCTTGCGTGTGGTGCGCGGCCGTAAAAAAGAAAGAAACCGAAAAGGAAAAATAAGAAAAAAGAAAATTTGCAAAGCGAAGTTGAAACAAAGACAAATGGTTATGCGGATATCCGCCGACCAAGCACTTGCTCCTTTGGTTCTCGCATCCATGGATACCACACTTGGGCCCATTCCACAACTCCAAATCGTGGAGCTCCCGAGTCAATCATGGTCGAACCCTCTCGTAGGAACTCGCCGTCCCGCATTCTCCGCTGCTCGCGCAGCGTGGGACATTTCTTCTCCTTGATGAATCTGTAGAACTTGCACTGGATTCCCTGAAACCCGCGCCGTTGGCGGTTGGGAAATTGGCGGTTGAAGTTCTCGCGCACCTCCTTCCACTCCTGGCAGAGGTCGACACGGTGGTACCAGATGAAGTACATCTCTTCTTCTTCGTACTTGGGCCGGGGAGGCCGACGCCGTTCGGCGGCATTGCTGGAACTGCTGGAGACGGAGTCGTACCGGTCCCGAGAATAAGGATCTGGTGAAGACTCGGCCGATCTAGGCCGATACGACAAAAACATTTGGTCCTGAGACGAGCCCGGGGTGTCCGGATAGGCGTGGCTCTCCCCATAATGGGAGTAGTAGTAGCGGTTGGGACTTGGAGGGTAGTGTGGCGAGTATTGCTGGCTTGAGAATGAATGGTGTAGCCGGTCGTCCGTTGGGTCGTTGTCGGCCGATGGATTCAACAAGGAATCGATGGCCATTCGACTCTGGCGAGACGAGGGCAGGTAGCTAGTTCGCGAATCCATTTCGTCTGGTGGAGAATGCTTGCGTCTGAGGACTGATGATTGTGGTTGTAGGTGAGGGGGCAAAGAGAAGAATAACAGTATTTGTGAGGAGACAACCGCCGATGGCAGCAAGGTTGGAGGTGATCAAGATGCAGGTGATGGCACCTTTCTCCTCTTAAAACGGACGGAATAGATGAGGTGGGACGATGTGTTGGTTGTTGGGTTCAGTATCTGAGAACCTCAGGCACTGAATACACAAGGCTGATAGAGACAGACTGTGAGGCCTCTGGTATA